CCCCAAAACCCCAAAACCCCAAAACCCCAAAACCCCTTAAATCAAATCAAAGTATTCAAATGGAGAAGATTCAATTTTTATGAAATTATAAAATGTTACTATATTTGTGATATATGAATATATATATATATATAGGCAGCTTTATTAGCTCGAAAATTTAAATCATTGATTCATGCTTTTAACTTAAAATTGAGCATATTTCGTGTTGAAAGGTTTGAAGGTCCTCTGGGATTCGCTTATCTTTGAATTGACCTACTTTACTCTTAATTCTGATTTGGTTGAAGATGCCCAAAGAATCTGTGTCTTCTAGGCTGATTTTCTTGATTTTTTGTTTGCTAGATTTTTTCAGCATTAGTAGCATGAATTTTAGGTAGCAAATGCAAATTAGGAATAATTGCAGATTATTTGCTGACATCAGAATCTCTCTTTGTTTATCTTTCATGCAACAAGTTGTCTTTGTTACGGCCAGATAAAGTTTCCCCTTCTACTTCAATCTATGGCTTTTCATTTATTTCATTGTCAAATATAAAACTATTGTCCTCTTACTTTTCTAGTCTTGAATTAAAATCCTTAATACAATCTAAATGAACACTAAAATATCTATCAAAAGGTCTCTTAACTGCAATCTTGGCAAATTCATCATCATTTTCCGCCAGAGTGACTGAGCATACAAAACAAATTCCACTTAAAATAGTTACTTTAGAAGTTTCATTAAAATCTTATACAGCAAACTCAATCTATTCTAAAGTATTGAGCTTCTAGGTCTCTTCCAGCTACTCTCCTTTTTTGTGTTTGTCACTCTTGCTCATTGTGGAAATATTTTTTGTTTCTTAGCCTTTTATTGTTATTTCATTTATATCTTAAGTTTTATTGGCGACCAGGAGTTGCTTCTTTAGATTTCTATTTTGAATGATAGTGTATGCAATCATAATTACTGCACATACAATAATAACTATTAGCCCAGTTATCATAGCCAAGAGTACAACAGTATAATCATTCTTTTCAATATTTTTTTCTTGCATAACTTTATCTTATTCTTATTCTGTGCCATTTAAATTTCTTATTTCTGGCCTTTGATCATATTCAGAATAAACCTGTTAGAATTTTAGATCATTTTTAGCATAAATACTTTTGTTAAAGTTTGATTTTATCCTGTTATTAATTTATTAAGTCAGAATCTAATTTATCATAGCTAAAATAACAAGTAGACCAGCAAAAGAATACTTATTAAAGAGCATCATTTTTACAAATTGGATTTATACTTATTTTATTATAATACTTTAATAATCCAAGATTTAATGTACTCATTTGGGGTTTTGGGGTTTTGGGGTTTTGGGGTTTTGGGG